CCCCCCCCCCCCTCAGACCTCCTCCAACTCACCCATTGCTCCTTCCATCTCTCTCTCTCGTTTTTAGTTTCCGACCCACAAGAGCCAACAGCGAAGGGTTGAGATCAGGACCCAATGGCCGAGTTTGGGAGCTGTGTCCGTATCACTCGTGCTTCCTCAAAGAGAGTTGCGGCATCCGCCATGTCCGATGACCAATCCACCAATAAAAAGCGGGTGGTTCTCGGTGAGCTTCCCAACATTCAGAATGCTACTGGATCAGCGGCACAGAAGAGGAAGGCCACGTCCCAGATCACAAAATGCAAGCCTAAGAAGAGAACTAAGATCGCTGCTGCTCCAATGATCAAGACGACTGTCGTTGTGGAAGATAATGATCCCAAGTTGACCGTTGATGATATTTTGGACGACCCAGAAATGAAGGGGCCTTATTCCTCCGATATTTATGCTTATCTTCGCAAAATGGAGGTAAGAGCCATTTTTCTTTTTTAAACAAATGGTTTCTCATTTTGGGTTTTGAAGTATTCTGTTTTCGTGCTTTTGAATGTCTCTAATGCGATGGGTTTCCTCAGGCGGAACCAATAAGAAGGCCGATACCAAATTACTTAGAGAAGATTCAGACGGACATAAGTGCTAATATGAGAGGGGTTTTGGTTGATTGGATGGTTGAGGTTGCCGAGGAGTACAAGCTCGGCTCCGATACTCTGTATCTATCCATCTCTTACATTGACAGGTTCCTATCAATGAACATAATCAATAGGCAAAGACTTCAATTGCTGGGGGTTTCTTCAATGCTCATTGCATCGTAAGTTCACCAAAAACTGGAAATTATTCACGTTTCTCCTCGTGGGATCATGAGTTTCCATGATTTAATTCTTGACTTGATTTATCGAACAGGAAATATGAAGAGATCACCCCTCCACATGTGGAAGATTTCTGCTACATAACAGATAATACTTACAGAAGGGATGAGGTGAATATCTTCTTTCATAGCTTAACATAAATCTCGTCCTTGTTGCTGGATTATCAATCCTGAGATATGAGTTTGTGATGTTGTAAGGTTGTGAAGATGGAGGCTGATATACTCAAATCTTTGAACTTTGAAATGGGAAATCCTACTGCCAAGACATTCTTAAGGCAAGTATAAGTAAACTCTAGTCCCATTTGTGTTTTGGAGTTTGATCGACTAATATGTGAATTCAATCATGGTGGTGTGTATATTGAATTGTTGTTCTGGTCTGTTTCTTATGTATACAGGAGGTTCACTAATATTGCACAAGAAGATTTCAAAGTAAGCCCCGACATCCTTTTATTTTGATCTCGTTCTAAACCAGCTTTGAGTTTTCTATTTACTAATCCTCTCCTGCTTTATGCTTGGACCAGATACCCAATCTGCATTTGGAATTTCTGGGTCATTACCTTGCTGAGCTAAGCTTATTGGACTATAACTTTGTAAAGTTCTTGCCTTCTTTGATTGCTGCTTCAGTTGTATTTCTTGCAAAATTCATCATCCGGCCGAAGCAGCATCCTTGGGTAAAGGCTTGTTTCAATCCCTTGATTATGTAACTATGAACTTGAAGGTAGTTTGCTGATATATAAGTAAATTGCAGGGTCCGAACTTGCAACAATACACAGGCTACAGGCCAGCTGATCTAAGGCCATGTGTGCTTCTATTACACGATTTGTACATGGCAAGAAGAGGGGGATCTCTGATAGCTGTGAGAGAAAAATACAAGCAACAAAGGGTAAGAAACTTCATCCTCTTCATTTATATATGCGGCTAAAAGTAGAAGAAGGTGCTAATGTTTTACGTTTCTGATCCAAACAGTTCAAGAGTGTGGCAATGATGCCTTCACCCCCTGAGATACCGTTTGCCTATTTCGAAGAAGCTTAAACCAGAGCAAGGATCTTTGATACATTTTAGTTGCTAATTGAAGGCATGATTCTGACCCTCTGCTGATAGATGGAAAGAAATTTTGGGAATATGGGAATATGGTTTCAGCTCTTAACCAGATTGGTGATTTTGGTGCGTCGAGGATTAGGACCCATATTGTTAATATTAGTTGAAAGATGTTTCTGATTTAGACCAGTTGGGCATTTTGTAGTTGCACTCCATTTTACCTGTAAATTGGAGGTTTCTTCCATACTAATAACAGTAAAGAATGCATCCATGGCATTCTATTTTTATTTCGAACAACTCAACTTTTCAAGGCTACAAAAGAGCCAACTCCACAAAGAAAGAGTGAACACAGTAGAAAACATCCAACAGAAAAGCCTAGCAATTGAACAAATATCAGTGAATGAATAGCCTTCAAAAGCTTAGTTTTAAGTTTGGAGTTTCATTGTAGCAGGTTTTGGAGTAATGGTGTAGCAGTTGTTTAAGCTTAAAAGGACAATGGAAGAACCATTGGTAACTTCTGCTTTAAGCAATGCCCAACACTAAAGATAAGAGGAAGAGACAGAGGAAATTGTAAAAGAAACATTGAGATTACTACAAAACTTCAAACCCACTGCCCACTGCCATCCGACAAGATTTGCCCACTTGAACGACAGCTGAAAAAAGGCCATGTACAATTCCCGACATCGCCAATACACACACTCCTTCTTCTTCTCATATTTTGAAGGCTTCACAGTTAGCTCCAAAAGTTTCTCCTCAAACCAAGAGAAATCATCTTATCCAGTAAAGAAAGAAACTTTAACATTAAATTTGCCAAAAGGCCACATGTTGTTCGTCAATGGCGTTCTTTGTTTGCTGGAACACACGAAATTACTGTCATTTCTTTCGCATTCACTCTACTACTCTTCCTTCAATGGAAAAACCTTTCGCTCTTTAGCACAAACTATTATTTGATTAATTTTTTAACATGTTTTATATTATCAGTGTAAGGCTGCTTTAAAAGTAAAAAACAAAGACAAAAAACCAAACCCTGTGGAAGTGATTTCTGGTTTCATTAATTTAATAAAATTGAATTATTACTCCCGTGACCGACAACAGCGCCAACACCACAAAACATCACACTTCTCAATTCCCAGTCTGGATTTTTTTCTCTTTATTTATACAGTTATTCAACTCAACTCAACCCATTCATTCAGTGCCCAACAGACTACCCATTCATGCATTCCCCCGTGTCCCTACCAATGCGGTTCTTCAAGTGTCCTCCTGCAGCCGTGGGTATGAAGCTGCGTGGTATAATGGCGGTGGCTTGTTTGCTGCTGCTGCTACTAATTGCAGCTCCGAATAGTATGAATGGAGAAGAGGATATTAATGTTGTCAGATTAAACCAAGCAACCCCAACTCAGAAACAGCACCGTACGATGAGTTCATTCCATGCTTTACAGTCAAGTAAGAGGAAGGTTCCAAATTCTTCAGATCCACTTCACAATCGTTGAGCTTTGTTTCCATTTTCAAAATTTGTTCCATGATCGGTACATAAACAGATTTTATAAGCATAACATTTTTCATACTGATTATATGTGACAGATTTTGCCTGTGATTTATATGGTGTTTTGTTGATTTGGCTTCTGATTTTGAGGTGGGAATATGATGATATGAATGGGGGGTGCTTATGCGATCATACATGAAACATTATCGGATCAGTTTTCAGCATGTAGGCACCTCCTATAACTGGTCTTCAACCCCACATGTTTGCCTCTACTTTTCAATTTTACTTTCATTCTGATACATAATTTCCTGATTTAACTAAAATATCAGATATTTAATTTTACATGGTTAGGAATTGTATGGTTAATCTCAAAAAATAAAAATAAAAATAAAAATAAATAAATGTGGTACTCAATTTTTTTCGGTCATGTGAAGATAAGGTAGCTTGGATATTTCATTCTCGAGTGAATGGATATGAGTACCTATATTATATGTACCTATATTATATGTTAGTCTCGTTTATTTTCATTTAATAAGGAGTTTTCAATTATTTAATTTTTTTAATTTTATATTTAAAATAGTAATTTATTTTACTGCCACACTAAATTCGGGGATCCACTTAAAATGTCCATATATCTTCAAAACTATAGAAATATATAATTTATTTTAAACAAATTAAATTTAATTTCACTATAATTGTTCTCATCATGCATTATACATGTGGCATGCAATTGTGTTTACTCTTGGAAGGAAAGCAAAGTCCCACACTTTTTACTCCAAACCCAAATTATAAAAATAACCAACGCATGCTTGCTTCTGTTTTCTTTTTCAATTAAATTAAATTAAAATTTAATTCATTCATTCAATTAAATTAAGATTATTAAATGCTTTGAAAATAATAAATTTAGATTTAAACTTGATTTACCTTGGAAAGGAAGTTTTAAATTTGTGTTTAATAACACAAATAGTTTGCATAATTTTTTAAGGCTTTTAATAATTGTAGTGATCTTTTACAAAGGAAAGAGTAAACCCCTTAAATGAAAATTAAATAATATTAAAAATTGAAGAGAAAAAATGTAACTTTTTGAAATTCAAAAAACAAATGAAATATACTAAGAAATTTGGGAGTAAAAATGGGGGAAAAAAAAAGAAAAAAAAAGAAAAAAGGAAAATAGAGGTGTGGAGGTTAAACAGTCTGATGATCAACTTCACCATCTTCACCGCACATCATTTATAATTTGATTCCAGAAGGGTAATCCGTTCTTATAACTTCACCTGCAAATAATCTCTCTTATCGTAACCCTTTTCCCAAATTTCCCATTTTTAATTCACACCTCATTTTCCTCGATCTCAAATTCCCCCGGCGCTTCCCCTTTCACGGCCATGTCCGATCAAGACTCCTCCCCTCCGGTCCAAGTTGAATCCCGAGAGCCGGAGATCAAAGATCCCATTAAGCCGGCGAACCCATTTGCTACCAAATTCAGCATATGGCCACCAACGCAGCGCACTCGTGACGCTGTTACAAGCCGTCTGATCGAAACCCTCTCCACCCCTTCCATTCTCTCTAAGCGTTACGGCACGATTCCGCCTGAAGCCGCCGCCACCATTGCGCGGGTCATCGAGGACGAAGCGTATGCCACTGCCGATGGGTCTCCAACCACCGTGGACGACGGCATCGAGATTCTGCAGCTCTACTCCAAGGAGATTAGTAAGCGGATGCTCGAGGCGGTGAAGGGTAGAGCGATTCCCGCGGCTCCGACGGAAAATGGTGAGAAGGAGGGATCGTCATCGCCTGTTGTTGATCCTAATGACGAAAACCCTACTTCGGAAATTGAATCTTGAATTTCTGGGTTGTTGGTCTTAATGTTATTACCCTGTTTGAGCTTCTTTTACTGGAGATCTGCGTGTCCACTATCCACACATTGCATACAAAGACAATTGTTTGTTTTTCTTGTGTTCTACGACCTTATATTCAATGAAAATGGAAGCATTTTATTGCCTAGAGTTATCTTTATTGATGAGAGTATTCTATTATCATGTCGCTTGAATCTTGTTGTTGGTTTCTTCATCTCTGTTGAAACTAGAATCCCTTCTTTGCTTTGACCTCTCTGCTTATTGTGGTCTTTCTTGGGAAAATACCTCCTCTAAGTTGTTCGAGGATGAGACTTTTGGCCTTTCCCATTTTGTCTTGGAATTGTTGTGTGATGCTTCGCTGTTACATTACAGATCGTGAGACCCTTTGCAGCTCTTTGAGACGTACATTTTGATTCAATCTGCCATGGTCTACTAAAGGGATAACACCATACGTATAAGCCTTTTCAGCTTGCTTACATTATCATTTATCACTTGATTTTGATTGCTCGAATTTGTGGATGCTTGGGGGCTCATAGTGTTTGTTTTGGCACCAATGCTCGGACCCATCTCCCCAGAACCCAAATCAGTTGTCAGTCCACCACGGAAACTGATTTCGACCCCTTTGAATTGTACAATTCATTATTCACCACTAATTTGAGTGTCTGATATCTTGTGCGTTAACATAGTTTCCAGAATATTGAATGGCATGTGAAGTTTATACATTTCCCTTCATCCACAATACAATTGGCTCCCCTGTGTGTTACTACTCTTACTATTTGCATTGGCAAAGATCAAACCTCTAAATAATCTCTCTAAAATTTTGAAGTGTACATCCCATTTCTAGATGGAGAAAAGGAGAGAAAAAAACAAATGAAGAATGAAAAGAAGTTTCTTTCAATCATGTGTTCAGCTAGTGTCCAGGTCCTCTCATGCTCGGTCCTGAAGCATGCTTGAATGCCCGGCTTCCCTTCTGATGACCCCTAAAGGTAACAAAGCCAGTCGGGTTACCTACAGTTCCTTGCAGAGCTCGTCCAATTCCGGTCGTGGGTGGTCTGAGGCGCCTGCAATCCACACGAACAAGCAGCATTGCGAACAGTATCATCACAACAACAACTCCACGCCTCATCCTTGCTTTTGAATCAACAGAGACTTGGGAAATCGCCCTTTTATGAACACAAATCGCCAAGGGCGGTGGTGTTACTATATATATTTAGATTACCAACTCCTTTGACTCTTGCGTTTTATTTCTTTATTTCCCCTGTTTTTCCACGCTGTTAGGAACGTGGACTTGGTTCAAACACAAGCCAATCGTTCATACAGGAAGAAAAAGGAACAAACTTTGTAAAGGCGAGGTAGGCCTCCATTTGCAGGGCCACCGCCACAATGGAGTGATGTAAATATCACACGCTTTCTTTTCTGAATCATGCTACAGCTTCAATACATATTTATATATGATTATGTGCAGGTTGGCACGCAGGTTCTATGTTTTTATGTTTTAATATTTATAAATTTGGTGCTACAATTCATGCAATGCAAGGAAGTTTCGTTTGGTTTAAAGGAGTTGGAATACAGTTTTGGATCATAGGATAAACTTAAATCATGCTTTTGTGTTTATTAATGTACAAAGTATTTATTATTAGAAGATAGTGGAAGGCCCAAACAAACATTGGGAGGAGGTTGCACCACATCCATCCATTCATCTCATCAATCATTGAATAGGATAAGACAATGGATATAAGAAAAGTAAATTAGGGTATGATATGTGAGCTGAGATAATGGGTACATATACTACTGCTACTCCTGCTCATAAATGACATTTTTTTTAATATTTTTAATTTTATGGAAGAGTATTTCTGAAATCACATAAATAATTGCATTTTAGGATAAGTCCAAAAAACTTTAGGGAAGAGACGATGTAGTCAGCTGGTGTGACGTCATTTTGGAACCCGCTTGTCCGAAACGTTGTCCGGAATCTTTGTGGTTGATGCTGAATCACCACTTTCCAAAATCTTCATTAATTTTGTTTTTATGATTATATTTAAAAATCATTTTTAATGCAGTTTTTTTTTTTTTAAAGTAAAATATAATTTAACCTTGAGACCGTGATTTAAAAAAAAACGACAAATATGATACTGTAACTAACATTATGAATTAAAAAAATCTCAATCAACTTTTTTTATTTATTTTCTTTCTACTTTTAACTTTTTTTTTTTTTCTTTTTCTAACTTTAGTATCGATTCATTCAACAAGTCTAATCCTACTCTTAACTTTTCTTTATTTTAGTCGGTATTCTTCCAACAAACCTATTTAGGTTCTTATTCTTTCAGTTTTTTTTTTTAATTAATGTATTATTTCTCTATTTTTGAAATATCCATTTTAGCTCGAGCAAAAAAAAGGAAAGGAAGAAAGAAGAACCAGATTATTAATTAATCATATAAATAGCTGTGTTAGATGAACCTCATCCTCCACAGACCCGATATTGTTTTCTGCTTCCTAAAATGCCTGGTACCAATAAGAAATAAGAAATGAGAGAGTATTCTTTGATTATAAACGGACCAACATTCTCTAAACCCATGACTTTCATCATGCCTGGTACCAATAAGAAATGAGAGAGTATTCTTTGATTATAAACGGACCAACATTCTCTAAACCCATGACTTTCATCATTGGAATAGTATAAAGTAAGCTCGTCCTGGAGGCATAATGAAATGGATGAATTTGTTTGTTTAAGAAAAGAAAAAAGAGAAGAAGTTGGAGGCGCATTGAATTTTGGCAGATTTGTGGCGTTCTAAACTCTTTCAGACAATTTGCATCACTTTACTTTACCAACTTTGTCCAACCCCATTCCTCATTTTTATTTCTTCCACCATCACCCACTACACCTCCTTTTCTCAACAATCTTCCTTTTCATCAACTGAAAACTAAATCCCAATCAACAAGCGCCTGCCCCCTCTTGACTCCTTCATCACCATGAAGAAAATCAAATCAGTTTCGGAGGAACAACAATCCCCACCACCCTCCTCCTCTGCTTTTGCGAATTTAGACGACAATCTCTTGTTCGAGGTGTTTAAGCACGTTGACGCCAGGACACTCGCCACGGCCGCCGGCGTCAGCAAGCAGTGGTGCAAAACCGCCCACGACGAGTGGCTCTGGGAGCTGCTCTGCACCAAACACTGGGCTAACATCGGCTGTGCTAACCAACAGCTACGCTCCGTCGTGCTTGCGCTTGGTGGCTTCCGTCGATTGCACTCTCTTTACCCATTTCCCCCTATCATGGGATCCGCATCCTGTATTCCCTGGGGCAAAGACGAGCTTCATCTCTCCCTCTCTCTTCTCTCAATTCGGTACTACGAGAAGATGAAGTTCAAAAACAGACCCACTTCTTGAATTCTCAAGCTCTTTTGGATTTTAGATTGTTGTAAAAAGACAAAAATTTGGGTGTTCAGATTCCCCTCTCCTCCACCGACTGTATCGGTTTGTTTTAAATTCAGAGATTGTTTGGATTTGGGCGTTCTAATTTAACTAACCGACAGATTTTTGTTCTGTCAATTGAGTGTGGGTGGATGGATTAACTTCCAATTTTATATGTATTTGTTGTTTTTCCATGCCAACTGTTACCTGAAGAAGGGGTTTGGGACATTTGAATGGAAGTAAAAGATTAGGGTTATGTCTGTCGACAGCTCGGTAACGTAAAAATTAAAATTGGCGTTGAAGTTTCTAAATATTTTGACTAGGTCTTAATTTAATGGCGACAGCTTTCTTCCCCACTTGGAAAAGAGGCACAAAACAAGTCTAGTCTTGGCGCAAATGGTTCTGTACCAAAATAGTTCATCGTTTTGTGTCAAATCAATCATGGGTCCTAAATTAATTACAAGTTGGAGGAGGAAAAAGTGGATGGGGTCTCATTGATTTGATTCACAGAGATAGAATAGAACTTGGCTGCTTCATGCTCTATTAAAATTCATGAGATTAAAGAAAGTTTTTAAGGACATCAACCATTGAATTTCTCTCTTCTTCTCTCTCGCTCTTCTTCTCTGTACACTGCCAAAATTATTGTGATTTCTGTAAAATCCAAAGGGGTTTTGGTTCTGCCGTTACTACTAATCGATCTTGCTTATTCCAATACGCTTCACCACAGCGTTTCTGATGGCATCCGTCTGCAAATGCCAACCCTTATGCTCTATTCCAGACATGTACTTCCTCACTTCGATTTTTATCATCTCCTGCATCGCACCTAAGAACTCCGCACTAAATAACTCCGATTCTCTGCCAACCCCGCCTGTGGTAGGAGTTGCCTGAACCATATTCCGGGTCGGGCTCGCGACTGAATCCGATGCATACCCGGATGTCGAAATGGATCCTGGCAATGAGAGGCACAGTGAGGTTGGAGGATCGTTGGAGTTCGCAACCTGCTCATGATTCGACGGAACAATCGAACCGCTTCTAGCTAAGGGTCTGTATACGGGAAGCGGCGGCGATAGAGACGAGTCGCTCAACTCGGATCCGGATGGACTACTCGGGTTAAACCCAAACCCGGAAGCGACGATGACTGGACCTGGACCAACGCTGGCAGATCTCTTCAGAGGCTGATGCAAATCCGGGTCGTTGAAATCATCACCCATGGCGGAGCATTTACGCTTGAGCGTCGAATTCCAGTGATTCTTAATCGCGTTATCCGTGCGGCCATTCAAAAGGCGAGCAATGGTGGCCCACTTATTCCCAAATTTGGCGTGAGCTCTGATAATGGCGTTATCCTCTTCAGCAGTAAACGGCCGGTGCTCAACCCGAGGAGAAAGCTGATTACACCATCGGAGACGGCAAGATTTTCCAGAACGACCAGGAACCGACTTACTGATCAGCGACCAATTTCTGGGTCCGTAGGTTTGAACCAATCTCTTCAACGACTCATCCTCCTCTGGACTCCACGGACCCTTAATCCGATCCACGTCCTTCCTCATAGACTCCATGGATCGAAGGTTCTAAAACAAAATATTCAAATTTAAAAAAGCAAGAAAAAAGAAAAGGCGTCTGAAAATTTGTACAGAATTGAGAAGAAAAGGCGAAGGGGTTTTATGGAAGCAGCGTAGGCGAGGAGGCCTCACCCTGTTCGGTAAAGAACAGGTGAGGAAGGAAAGGAGGATATTTATATGAGAAAAGATAAGAATGACCGGTTGAGCCGGTTGCACAGTAGAGGAGGATGCTTCGAGGGAAGGTAGTTATTCGCATACAGCTGTAAAGGACACGTGTCAATTATCCACGGCGCATGTTTAGTCATAACTGGGACCCATTTGGAAAACTGCCTTACCTGCACACTGCAACAGGTATTTAGGTAATTAGCCAAATTCATGTAATGGTAAAAAAAAAAAAAAAAAAAAAA